GTAGTTTGCTCAGTCAAACATTTTATGGCTTACTATTTAGCTATCTTACCATTACCGATGTAACATGGTATGTACATCACAAATTCCTAGTTTCTTTCTTGCTGTACATTGCAACCAAAAAAACTTGTCAAATTAACCAAATCATTACTGTAAACAGTTCCATGAATGCTACTATCTTCGAGACTTCCCAAAAAAAATAACTCTTGCACGCCTTGCGTGCCTATGTTTACTAATTGTAGTAGTTGTCCTCCGGAAAGAATTGAGAAATACATTCTTTGTGTTTATTTATGAAGGCTGTGAATTAACTAACATTCAGACCAACCTATAACAGAAGAAACAAAAATTCATTATTTTACATACATGGAATCTTCATTCCAACTAGGGAGTCATCTCTACACCTGTTCACATCAACAGTGCCCCACGGTCCAAACATGGCAATTCCTGATTGAACATCTGTGGGAAGGGTCTGATCAAATGTGAAACAGCACAAATTCCCACCCTGCAAGTAGAAATAACATAATTGTGGAGTGAGGAGCATGATGGTGTTGCTTTCAATACTTCAAGCCAACAGGATGGCTGTTATCCCTATAAATAACCAGGGCTCAGAAAAAAGTGCCGTCTGTTCGTCCAGGACAAGTAGATTTTCCTGCCAGGAAAGCAATTTTTCATTGTCAATTGCCCAACTGGAAAGGACCTAGGCAAGTGTCTGCCAACTAAATAAAAAGAAAAGTCAACTAAGACTTGCCCAGAGCAAACAAAATTTGAGTGCTTCTTGTCCGAAGAGCAAGCTAGAATTCAAATTTTTTCAAGCTCTGATTATTAAAGCATGACGGAAAGTGTTCATCGAATAGCAGTTGTCATTAGACTACAACTACCAGAACTCCTTTCATTTTTTCTTTATCATTTAATTTTTGAAGCCCCAGTGGGATTTAAATAACAATAATGTCCCACGAAACAGAAAAAGTGAAGGATTCTGGTAGTTGCAGTCAAATGACGTCATCGTGCATGTGAATCACCCATTGAGGCATAGAGTTGACATTTGGCCATTGTATATATAAATTTAACAGAAAGCTGGTTTAAGAAAGTTATGTTTGCATGCATAAAATGTTTGCAGAACTGATACGAACATTATTAAACAAATACAAAACAGAGCAATACGTCTTCAGAGCAACACCATCATCAATATTATTATTTAAAACCTAACCTGTAAGGGAACTTGACTTGGAGTAGCACTCTTTACTTTGAGCGACACAAATTCGGTTATCCATTGACTTGGGGAACAATCATCTACATAATAAGTTAGAAACATACAATAATGTGATAAGTTAGAGCTTTGAGAATTATTCAGAGTAAAATGGTCCTACTGTAATTCCTTAATCTTTCTTATTCCATTGATGTTTTAAAACTGCTTTGCTGGATTATCTCTTCACTGTGCACATGGACTGGAAGCAACCCCAGAAGAAGGTCAACAACTGCAGCAAAAAGATAAGAAAAGGAGAAAAAGGAAAGGTGCAAAAAAAAAAAATTTTAAAAAATGAAAATCTTGAAATTTGGATTTCTGTGCATGCCCGAGCAAAAATGTCATAAAATGCAATGCTAGTGGAAAGAAAGGCATGCTGTCATGATTTTAATGCCTTTTTGAGTAGAATGGATAGAGCTAATCTAGTTCATATCGAGGCTGAAAATGTCCAAAAAGTTCCTTTTTTTCCAAAAAGCTCCAGGTGTCAAAGGGTTAATAGTGATGACTAAAAAATCTGTGAGACATAAAACAAAAAAAATTAAATTAAAACAAGTGTGATCGTGTTAAGGAAACAAATTCAGCTGAGAGAGAATCCAGCTTGAAACTTCACCAGAAGATACATCAAGATGGATGCAGATAACTAAACTTTTGAAAATCTTAAAAAAGGTTTCAAAAAAGGTATATCCAGTACAAATGTTTTGCACAGCACAGAGAAGATTATCTCTAGTATATCGTCACCATAAAAATTTAAGTACCTAGTGAAAATTCGACACCACTTTCTGATGTCCCACTCCTGAAATCCAGTGAATCAAAGTAACTAGGTAAGTTGTCATCCCCTGAACTGTCAGAAATGATCTATTAAAAGTAACATCAATAGCATTAGCCAAAAAGCAAAAAAAACTTCCTAAAGTTTGGTGCAGTCATACAAGATGCTTTTTTTTATGCTTACTAGATGTGTTTTTATTAATTATGCCTGACAAAAAATTTGGAAACAATCCTAGAAAATGTTGTATACAGAATTTATAATAGACAAATTTCTCCAGATATCTTGGACATTATACTATTAATAATGTACATGAAAAAAATTACTCGATTCTGATTGGCTGAGAGCAGTGCAGTTCAAGTGTAACACCAGTGCAAAAAGTGTAACACCACTGCAAAAAGTGTAACACCAGTGCAAATTACACATCGTAATTCTGAATTATGATTGGCTGAAAGACAATAGGAAATTTTCGAAGACAATGATATTACATAGAATGAGGACGAAAATTTTGTGCGGAAACTTTGAAAACAGTTTTCTCGAATGAGAAAACATGGCTTCAAGAAAGGTCTTCCATCACTTCCTCTACGCAAATTTTTTCATGTTTATATTTATTAATAAGTAATCATACAGTTTTTTTCATGGCCCTATTCTCCCAGAGGAGAGCTAGGAATTAGTAGTAGTAATCATACGGTTTTTCTCATTCAATTTGGAATTAATTTGCACTTGTGAGTTTTTCAAAAAGCTGAAATTACACTCGCTGAAGTGGCTCATGCAATTTCAACCTTTTGAAAAACTCACTCATGCAAATTAATTCCAAATTGAATGAGAAACTGTATGATTATATATACAAATTGTCAGCTCCATCATACCACTTTCTGTGATCTGAAAGCTCTGAGAGGTAATTTTTTGATCAGTGGATCAGTGGATCAAAGAGTGAGAGATGTATGTATGTCACACCAATCAAATCAGGACTACTATGAACAACCAATCAAATTACTGCTTGTAAAGGACTTAACCATGAGGGCGAAGATTTCATCCCGATTTTAGAACAGCATCTTTCTTTTTACAAATAAGGACAGGCTTTCTTGTACTGCGCTTGTTCATAGTGTTTGTGCACAGGGCTAAGCTCAGGCCTTTGTGGGTGGGTTTTGAAAGAGTTCAAAATTTGATAATCAGCTGAGGAGTCTAGATCTTTGGCATACACTGATGTGTGATCAAGGCTTTTCTTTTCACATTACAGGAAATTTCAAGTGACATGAGTTTTAGCCACTTAACAACTTAAAGAAGTTAACTGCAAAATGCAGTATTAGGATGGTGAGGGGGGTTTCGTCTGTGATAGTATTTACGAGGTTCCAATCAATATTGTTTGCATTACATGCAGTTCACAAGAATGAAGTCCAAACTAATTCTTAATTTGTTTTGCTGTTGTTGTTGTTGTTTCACTTAGATTTTGATGGGTTGTTATAACCATTCTTCATCACTTGATGCTACAATCATGGTATCAAAACCTGCCCAATCACTGATAAGCATGATAGGACACAGCTTTTGGCAAAGTTTAAAAAAATTCTTTAGGTAAGGTTCAGAGCCACCCCAAATTTTCAAAAATTTAAGGTGGCTCTGAACCCTACCCACAGAATTTTTTTAAACTTTGCCAAAAGTTGTCTTATCATGCTTATCAAAAGTTGATAATATAAAATAATTTCACTGTACCATTTTTGAATTATAAGCCCCTAAAGCTGTAATTAAGGGTGTTTTTAGGAGATCATACTGTTGCTATGGTAACCTATTGCATCACGAAAATGATAACAACATGTTTACCAATGATTGGGCAGTTTTTTGATACCATGATTGTAGCATCAAGTGATAAAGAGTGGTTATAATGACCTATCAAAATCTAGGTGCTGGAAACTCTTTTGAGCCACCTTAAGGTAAACATAAATTTTTAGTTCTTTTTCAGACTGTTATATTAACTAGTTTCAATAAAGTTACATGTATTATTGGTATTCAAATGGGTAGGAGCTGCTAATACAAATGAGTTAGAATTACTCTGAAAAGCCCCATGGGGACGAGCCAATAAAGTATGTAATGACACAAATTTGTACATTTTTTTGCTCTACAGAAACGTGGAGAACAAGGCACTTTTACACACACTCAAATTAAGGATTAATGTTGATCAAGTGTCAACCTAGTGTTGACCTAGTATCAATTGACATCCTAATCAAGTGTTGATCAAGATGTCGATCAAGTGTTGATCAAATTAAGGTAGATCAAGGGTATTGATTGACACTCAACTAGGATGCCTTTAGTACACGTGATCCAACTATTGTTGAACACTGATCAAAGTGTATATCAAAATCATCTCACCTGGTTTAGACTTGAGGCGGGAATGCCATACATATCTAATTCATCATCATTTCCTTAAAAACCAATAGGATTAATCAGTCACAAAAATAAGGTTCTTTCTTTGGGTGTGTGCAAGTCCATGGACTCACCACTGCCTGTTTGTAGAGGGATCATTGCCTTACCTTGTTTGCTGCCATCCACTTCCATTTCAGTCTCGATAACATGGGGTGTCTGAAAAACACAGTGACGTATTTTGCATCTGAGTTGTTTTGTTCATAAACACAGGTAATCGGATATCAGTTTAGCGCACAAAGCTTAAAGAGCATTTTGATGAGAGACCATCTTCAACATGCTGTACTCAGTCTTTTCCTCTTCTCAATCAC